AAAATGTTCGCATATAGCATCGTGAAGATTTGGAATTTTATCGTGAAGCATCCACGATACTATTTGAGCATTCAGGTGAACGATTGGTGATGGCGTTTTTGGTGCACCTGTCGTTTCATCATTCGTATCGTTTTGATGGCGCCGCACATTTTCTGTGATAAACTCGCACAATATCGATGCACTCTGCAAAAACCATCAAACATCGACAAACGTTTCAACAGCTCGAGGAAGTGATGCTGCTACTGCTCCAAAAAATCCATAAAACTAAATTCGTTGAAGATTTCAAACTATCAGACATCAATGATACCATATTTTATCGTCTGTTCATCGTCATTTAATGATTCCCAGAATTTGATTAAAAAGATATCAACAGGTAAATTATTCTTTCCCAAAAAATTATCCTTTCCAGGAGTATTTGAAAAAAAAAATTGTGCATTTGAAAGTTTGAAAGTTGAGTGCTTCTTTCTTGTCAACTTTACCTACCTCTTCCCTGACAGCAGTTTCTTCATCTTGCAATAGCATCGCTCCAATTTTTAGCACTTCCCTGGAGCTTAACACTTCTGAAAATACTATTTTTCCGTTCATTTTTTGGGCAAATGAGAAAAATCCGAAGAGAATTAGAGTCAGCCACAAGAAAAAGAGAAAAATGAATGGTTTATGAAAAAAATACAAAATGAATTCTTCATCTGAACGTGTTTCAATTCAAAGTGAATAGAAATTGATACATATCGGTTGAATAGTGCATTTCAATCAAACGACAAATGCAACTGCTTCATAAAGCTGCTGTTATACCTGCTCTATCACAAGCGATTCGAAATCCCTGTAGAGCGATACGTTTCAATTCGAGTGATTCTCGTCGAGCACACTGCAGAATCCATCTCAAATCCGTCGAATCCGATAGCTTCACTTTCATTGCCAATAACCTCGCTAAATATTCACTTAAGTCCCTGAAAGTAACCGTTCAAAAAATCCCCATTATCACATATCATTTAATTTCATATTGCAGATCCTAGCAGCTAGAAGCGAAACGAATTGACGAATGCGATGATTTCTTTGATAATAATACCAATCGAAAACGTCCCAACTATGATAAGAATAACAGTGACATAAAAAACTAATAATATCACTAAAAATAACAATAATAAGAATAATGCTACAACGATAACGGTATTAAAACCAGAGAATTGATCGGAGTCAATTCTGAATAAATTATCGTTGCTACAATTCTGTTTTTGCTATTTGAACAAATCAACTTCTAATTCTGGTCAGTGTACGTGAGGTTCCTTCTGAGTATGAGTTTGACAAGAACAAATGAAAAAAAAAAGAAACATAGTGGAAGTTTCTTGAAATGAAACTGACATTCTTAATGATGCAGTATTCTGAGCGATGAAACAATCGAGTTTCGATAGACATTCGTTATCTTCGACAATCCTTGCAGAGTTTTCAATCAGCACAAGTAAAATCTTCAATTTGATCAGTATCGTTCATTTGCTGTTGTTTTCACAATAACCATAACAATAGTTACACCTAGTGAAACGGTGATGCTTCATATTCAGTGTTGAATGGTTGAAAAATATCAACTTTTTCAAAACAATTTCCATTCAACTTTACAAGACAATAATGGCTATAATTTAATATTAGGCCTCAATTTTGATGACTGAAAACAAATGATGATGCGGATGAATGAAAATCAAATTATACGAAGAATTCAATGCGACTGTCAAAATACTCAATAAAAATCAACAATTAACCAAAAAAAAAACAATTGAAAATGTGCATTCCTACGAAAATGAATAAGTAATGAACATTCAAATAATAAACAACATTCAAATAAAAAATCAACAAAACAATCAAACGGATAAATGAAAAAATAAATCATAAATTGAACCGAACATTTTGAACTGTATATTCATCCAAGTTATTTCTACTGCTATTGCCATTTTTGTGCGTCTCAAAACAAAGTAAATCTGTCGCAGCCATTCGCAATAANCGCATTAACTCCGCCATGAACATTTGCTTTCGTGAGTGCACGCCACAACTGGAAACGTAAACTTCGATTCTTCAACAAAATCTCAACAATACTCATCCGATCATCCAATGACAAGTTCGAATCTGAAGTAGTCATATCTATATATATTTCATACAGTTTGATAATTGATTTTCTCAGAAAGCATTGATAACACTTATCATTACATCAACAATAATAAGCCACCTTCCTGATCGGGCAGCAGGCTGCTAGATTTTCACCAACTAAATAAAGATTAGAACCCAAGGGTACCCAGGGGAAATAAAAAGACCACTCGGGAGGCCTCCAATAAGATGGAAAGACGATATTACAAAGAAACTGGGTAACATTTGGCAAAGGAAAGCAAGATCAAGGACCGAATGGAAACGTATTGTGGCCAGCAATGTTACAAACGTTTCATAGCCTGGCCAACCCAGGTAATCCAGGTTAAAACACTAAAAACAAGGTATAACGCCTGTATTAAAGAATAACGCCGAACCTGTTATTGAATTCAATAGCATTGTAGCTAAAGGTCTTGCAGTCAACCACGCATTCATATTTTCAGTAATCATTAATTTTATTGAACCTATCGATACATTCAAATTACATTCGCATACCAATGAAGACAACACTGCCATATTATTGTCACACCTGTAAATGATTATGGATTTCGAAACTGAATACAATCAGATTTGAGTGTGCCAGTGGAAAACTACCAAATTCGCTCGCTCAATTCATATCCTTCCTTTGGAGGAGCTCAATTCATAATTGAGAAGAAAGCTTACCATGAGTGGAAGCGTTCCTCTTCGATTATGTTCCGTACAATTAGTTTAATATCATCACAAAGCTCATGATTCGCAAAATGTTCATTGAGAGTTTGCAACTGCAAATAACGAAATTATTGTGCAAGGTAGCGATTTCATGCAAATTTTTTGAAGAAAAGAAAAAGAAAGCTAATTTCTTTGACTATTCGCAAGTTTTAAAATGATTGCCATAAAACTTTTCAACTTTTCATGCTGAACACAAATGGAAGCATCATTATTATGGACTATCGCACCGAACGGATTCAGATATATCGAACAACTCGAATATTCGCACATCAGTAATATCATCTATCTGTTTCGGAAATGTCAAAACCAACCGTTAAAAGTAACGAATTCACTTGATTTTGACGCAGCAGTTTCTTCAAAAACATGCTTCGGATCCATTCGATCAAACGGATTGCATCCTGAAAATTGCTCCCAAACAACAGTGGGTGGAAAAGGATTCGCAGCGAGCAGGATTCGAACCTACGCGGGCAGAGCCCATTTGAT